CCCCTCGAGTGTCTATTTCCATACTAGCACTCTGCTAATCCCTGCAGGATACATCTTCAACTAGTCCTATCCACTCCTCTTTATCAAGACTCAGCATGATCCCTTCCAAGAAATCTCACCTGAGAGCCCACCCCCACAGTGACACCTCCCCAAGGCACCCATGATACTTTGAACCAGTCTCTCTGTGCTCTATCTGTGCATTCACCAATGGAGTACTGAAATGGGCTGGGCGTTGTTCTTGGTGCTGAGGACACAGCAGTAAGCCCAGGAGACAGAAATCCCTTGAGGGAGGAAGCAAGAAGGAGACAGCCAGCAATCAAGGCAAATGAGGGAAATCTGTCACAGCACTGATCGCTAGTAAGAAAAAATAAGTAAATAAAGGAGGGGCAGAGCTGGGGAAGGGTCTCTGTTTTAGACAGCATGGTCAGGAAAGGCCCCTCCAAACAAGTGACAGTACAGGAAAAGCCTGATGGGAATAGGGAGTGAACCCCTTCTAGATCTGGATGAAGACCATTTCCGGTAGAGGAAACTGTACATGGAAAGGCCCTAAAGCATGAACATGCCAAGCGTGTTGGAGGAACTGTACAGAAGCCATGCTAGGAGCAGAGGGAGTGCAGGGGAAGATGGTAAGAAATAAGAGCAGAGATGGGGACAGGGGATGGTGTGCACCTAAAAGAGTGTACCCCAAATATGAGAGGCCAGAGAGTGGCACAGCAGTAAGACATGATGTTCCCCAAGGTAGGCTCATGTCAGAGGTACCTGTTTACATTTGAGAGATCTCCCAGAGTATATCAAGCATGTGTGTGCCCTGATCTGCAGCTGGCTGAGGCTGGGGTTGGATTGTGGCATCAAGACCCTATTGGGTGGGGCCAGCAGGTATCATGGTGGCTGAGGCACTGGACTCCTACATGGTTGACCATGCTTCAAGTCCTGGATCTGGCGGCTTGCCTTCTCACTTTGCCTCTCTTTCTCTCTCTCTCTGTCTCTCTATGGTGAGTGCATGTGCCCTATAGCAAATAATAATATAATTAAATTAAATAATTCTAATTTTAAAAAGATCTTTTTTAGGGTTCTATTTCCACCTGTTCTCTAGCCCCACCCCCACCCATCACTTTCTCTCATGGAATAAATAAACTATTGTAAAAGTCATACATTAAAATTTTATTAAGGGGCGAGCAGGTGTTGTGGTGGTTAAGGGCATTGGACTCCCACATGGCTGACTGTGGTTCTAGTCCCAGATCTGTCAACTTACTTTCTCACTCTTCTTCTCTGTCTCTCTCTCTCTCACTCTGTCCCTCTCTGATCAAATTAAAATAAATAAAGTTAAATAAAAATAATTCTTTTAAAAATTTACTTATGTTTCTCTTAGAGTAATATGATTAGAAAGTGCTTACTTTCTTCTTCAGATGTATCTGCTTTTCCTGGGTTTTCAAACGTGAATATGTATTACTTACTTGAAAAGGGAGAATTGATCTTTTAAACAGAGGATTAAAAATGATCATGTTCTGAGGCCAGCAGGTGATGTGGTGATTAAGGGCGCTGGACTCCCACATGGCCGATTGTGGTTTGAGTCCCGGACCTGGGAACTTCTTTCTCACTTTCCCTCCCTCTTCCTCTCCATCTCTTATAAAATTAAAATACATAAATAAAGTAAAAAAAATTCTTTAAAAAATTATATTGTTTTGTATAGAAATTATTCATATATTCTGCCATGCTTTTAATTAAAGTAAATTTTCTTTTTTCTTTGTTGTCATTTAGTTTTAACCAAGATTGACAATTATACTCTGCTGGATTATTCTCTAATCAGTTCTCCAGAAATTACCGAGAACTATCTTGACCTGAATTTGAAGGTAACTTTATCATCATTAGAATTCGTCATCTTAGCTGTAAACAGTCAATATTTGGAGAACAAAGGTTATATGCAGAAGGAAATTATTTAAATAGTAAGAAAAAATAACTAAATAAAGGAGGGGCAGAGCTGGGGCAGGGTCTCTGTTTTAGACAGCATGGTCAGGAAAGGCCCCTCCAAACAAGTGACAGCACAGGAAAAGCCTGATGGGAACAGGGAGTGAGCCTCAATTCAACCTTAATTTGAATTAAATCAAATCATTTAATTTCCTTTCAAGCAGCTCCTTCATGTTTATGCCATTTTGAAAGACTCTTGAACATTTTCTTAATGGGCAAATAATTGTCTGGGTTGCACAATATACACCTGCTGCCTTAAGAGAAGCATCAGGACTTCTTTATCTCTGACAGTCGGTTTAAGGCTCAGAGACAGCGAGTAGAAGGGTCAGCATTTATTCGAACTTATCACATTAGTAGACCGTGCACATTGATGCTTCTATTCCTAACTCTCAGAGTTACTGAATTTAACTGAAGGCTGCTGACCTGAGTCAAGACCGTAAGCCTATGGGCAGGATGTTCCCTGATCCTAGAAAGTCGATCATAATATTCATACATATTTTTGCCCAAATGTTAATATAATTGTCTGTTAAAATGTATATTGGGGGCCAGCTGGTGGCATGGTGATTAAGATGCCAGACTCCCACAGGGCAAACTGTGGTTCAAGTCCTGGACCCAGCTGTTTGAGAATCATGCTGGGTGCAAGTGCGTGCAAAATCCCAGGAGGAGAATAAAGAAGGGATTATGACATGACCATGTCTCCTGGAAGGTTATTTCTCTCTTTC